GGTCCTAAAATAGCAAAAAACATTTGAAATCAAGAAAAACATATAATTGAATACTGTATTATGAGAGAGGGAGTGCCATTTAGTTTAAAAAGTTCAGAAGACATAATAACAGAAGGAAAAGAAGAATTACTATCTTCAATTTATGAAGAAGTAGAAGATGGTTTAAATTATAGAGTTAAACTTGATATTGAAGTCCAATTAGTGGCAAAACTCCCAGAAAAGGAATAGGGAGAAAATGAATTTAGTTATAGAGAGATTTTTTTTAATGAATGACTTTGATGAATATGTAGATGAAGATAATGTAGATGAAATTTTAGAGAAAGCAGTTGAAGAAATAAAAACCGACATAGAAGACCAAGATAAAGATAGTATAATAGGAATACAGCAATTCATTTTAAATTAGTAATTATTGAAGACATTTACTACTAACATATTTCTAATAATATTTAGTTATTAGAATTATGGATGACTAAGGTAGGAAAATTAAAGGTTAAGGGTTTATCTTTTTTGTTGTCCTTTGCTTTGTTTTTTTTATGTTGTTTGGTTTGTTTTTTTGTTTGTTGTTTGGTTGTGTCGTTTTGGGTATGGAATGGATGAGGTGATGATGTATTGACTGTTGTGATTTTTATAAAATGGATGAGGTAATAGATGGTTAGTAGTTATGATTTATGAAAATGAATGAGATGATGATATAGGTGGTAGTGACGATTTTGTGAAAAATGAATGAGGTGATTGATGGTAGGTAGTGATGATTTTGTTGTTGTTTGTTGTTTGTTTTTGTTTTTTGGTTTTGTTACTATGCTGTTATGGTTTTATGGTATTATTCTTTGAACTGTTGTGATTTTGAAAAATGGATGAGGCAACTATACTTTGACTGTTATGATTTTCATTATAGTTTTGATATTGTTGAAAAATGAAGCAATCAACAATATTGAAAATCTGTGCTTAGACTGTTATAATTGAAATTAAAAAACTTCTATGAACTGTTGTTTTATACATTTTTTTCCCCCGATGCAGATCCAGTGCCGAGTCGAGGTGTTGGAGGGAGCTGTTGGCAGTTGGCCCTGCATTTGTTTGATCAGATCGGAGTCTTTGACGTGGTGGCATGCTGCTGCGCAATGACCGCATGTGAACAAGGCAGTCACTGGCAAGGACCGCGGAGGCTAGGCTGAGGCTAGACTGGTAAAATGTGCCCGGTGTTCCCTGGTTGAAACAGCTTTCAGGAACTCATGATTTCACAGTGTTTTAAATTAAATTTCTAAAGGATGATGGCGATCGATAGGTCCACAAGATTGGGATCCTGATGCATTTTGCAGCTACTCTATCCCCTTTGAGAGTGAACCCCTTGTCACTGAAATCCGCACAAAGAACAAAAAGGATGATTCCGGAGGTAGCAGATTTGGATCTCCAGCCATTCTGCTTTCGTAACTGCCCCAACATTGGTGGTTTCAGACTGTCAACCTGTGATGCAATCTTGAAAACTAGCCGCCCGCAACTGGACTCTTTTCTGTCAGGATCTTTGATGCTTCTTCAAATGCTTGAAGACCGAAGCTTCAATAAGAATCTGATCGCCTACAACGCTTGCATCAGCACATGCACACGCGGTGACCGTTGGCATGAAGTGATATCTCTTTTTCACGAGCTGTTGCTTCAGAGGTTGGAACCCAGTGAGGTCACATATTCAAAATCTGTGAATGCCTGTCAAGTTTGTGGCGATTTCCTGCAAACTGCAGGTTTGTTGACAGCATTAAGGCGAAGTGTTTTGAATTCTTTCTGAATTTTCCAAGCTCTCACAATTCTGTGAAGAGCGTGTCACTGATTTCTCCGGTATCAGGACCTGGTGCAAAACATGGCAGGATAGCATTCACTTCGCTGATTTTTCCCCGAAACGGACAGCGGAGACTGATCCAATTTCGCTGGTGCCTAGTGCCCGACTCGAAAACTCGAAGACGAATTGTTGACGACCCCAATTTTCCACATCTTTCCATCCCCACCGTATCAAGACAAGATCTGTCTTTGATCTTCGCACCATAACACAGATAAACATGAACGAAAGCAATTTGAAGAAGCAAAATGCTGGAGCATGAACTGAACTGCCATCCACCAAAGAGGGAATAATTGAAAACATATCACACTGCCCCAAACCCTTCCAAATTGCTTTATCTCCATTTCATCAGCCATTTGTGTGTTTCCATTTGATCAAAAGCACATCATTCTGGTATAAAATCAGGCAGATTTAGCCCTAAGACCCGAAGATTGTCTAATACATTAATGATTATTAATGTATGATAAATAATATATATAGGTGGGCTGACGGACGCCCTGGTGCCGCCGACCACTTTAAGAGATGCTCGACAATGCTTGGCAGGTAGGGCTTTGTAGAACCAAAGTGGCAAACAACAGTTGACTCTTCGGAGGCTTGACATAGTGTGGGCAGGCGTGGCCTGTAGAACCAATGGTGGCAAGCCGCAGCGCAAGACTCTTGCAAGGTCGGGCAGGCAAGGTGTTTCGGAACCAAAGGTAACAAACGGCTGTTTCGACACTGTCAGGAAGTCGGGTAAGTGGGGCCGTGTAGAAGCAAAGGTAGCAGTTGGTAGTGTGGAACCCGTGAAAAGGTCCTTGACACGGCAGCAAGCAAAAGTGCCAATATCTGGTAGGGCCAAAGGGCAGTTTCGAAACCCTTAAAAAATACATGGTGGGGCAAGGGTTGGACCTAGTAAGAGCCAGAAGGTGAGGTGAGGGTTGGGCCGAGCATAGCCAAAATACATGACCTTGGAAGGCTGGAGAAGGTCGAGCATGGCCTCAGAAGGTTGGGCAAGGGTTGGGCCTAGGTGGGGCAAGGGTTGGGCCCCAGAAGGTGGGGCAAGGGCGAGTAGAACCAAAAGTAAACGGGAGAACCCTTACACGATACATGACCAAGCAGCTTGGAAGGGTGGAGAAGGTGCTAGCAGCTTGGAAGGCCACAGAGGGTGGGGCACAAGGAGGCGCTAGTAGAACGTGGCAGATTCGAAGGCCAATGCCGCACACCTATAGGTCATCCCACGCGGCGCCTCGTTTAGGCCAAAACTAGGCAGGGGTCGGCGGATTCTAACATCAGATATTTCATAAGATCCTGAGCTGACCAATCGATTACCCATCCCTGCCAGGCCCCAGGACACTCAGACCGGCTGCGGAGTGTGCACTTGGAGGCCACTCTGGACGAGGCCAGGGAAAACCACCGTGGTGTGAGTTGATGATAAAATCGACAGAAAACAATGGCAAAATTCTGCGAAATACCATCCAAAGATTCCAAACATAGGGGTTTTCTGTAACATTTTCAATTATAAGTTATAAAACACACTTCAGGAAAAGATTGAGATTCTCTTCCTCTTAAGTTTGTGTTCATGTCGTTCTTTTGGTGGAGCTCGACAAACCTTAAGTGGTCCTTGTTTGTTCTGTTGATGTGTACCTACTGGACTCTTGCGAGAGCCTCGTCACATAAAGATGCCACAGCACAGAAAGAGGGAACCAAACAACAAAAACCATGTATAAATGTAGGTTTTTCCCTATTCAACAGACTCTCCACTGTTTCTAGTGAATCCCAAATCCCTGCAATCACCTTCTTCGATCTGTAGGCCAGCTTTCAAAAAATGGATTGTGTCTCATTGCCATTCAGCACTTTCCTTCTGAATGCGCTCATTTGCTAGCTCGGGAGAACTCACACTGCCCTGTTTGATGGCAGTTTGATCAAGTATCCATTCTGCTGCAAATGCGCGCATGCACTTCACATCCTGATGTACCATGTACCTGTATGGGTGTCATGCATGGACAATCTGTGATGGGAGTTTCTCCTTTCGCAGCTGGCTCCTGTTGCTGAATTCTCCCCCAGACCGGGCGCTTCCGCCGGCATGCTATGCGCGCAGAGCCAACGGAGACTCTCCGCCGCTACACTGCCGCGATTGGCGCAAGTGGAAAGAACTGGGTGCACGCGCTGGATGTGCTGGGTGAAATCAAAGCCCAAAGTTTGCAAAGCAATGTGATTATCTACAACGCTTGCATCAATTCATGTGCCAAAAGTGCTGAGTGGCAGAGGTCTCTTAGTTTGTGGGTAGACTTGAAGGAGGAGCAGCTTGAAGGGGATGTAGTCACGTTTGGTGCGGTGATGAGTGCTATGAACAAAGGTAGCCAGTGGGACAAATCGCTGGAAACGCTGAATCAAATGGAGAGAAGTCAGTTAGAAGGAAACCTTATCACATGCAGCTCAGCCATAAGTGCATGTGAAAAGGGTGGGAAATGGCAACTGGCGCTTCTACTATTGGATGCCATCGATGGGGACGGGATGCAGGGGAACGAAGTCACCTTTGGTGCAGCCATCAGTGCTTGCGAGAAAGCAGAACATTGGGAGGCAGCTTTGAGCGTTTTCGACCAGATAGCTGCAAGGGATCTCAGGGTCAACTGCATTTGTTACAATGCTGTGATCAGCGCTTGTGGAAAGTCATCACAATGGATGCGCGCACTTGATTTGTTTGCAGAGATACAGGTTTCCAACATCCAAAGCACCGTTATCACATACAATTCGATGATCAGTGCTTTTGCATCTGTAGGGGAATGGCACAAGGCCCTTTGGATGTTGGCAGAGGTTGACATGCAAAAGATAAGAAGAACTGCAATCACTTACAATGCTGCCATCAATTCATGTGAAGCTGACGTTCAGTGGGAGCTTGCTCTGGATTTAGTCATGGAGCTTCTAGCAAGCAGAATCCGGGAGACAGCGTCAACTTATAGTTCCGCCATCAATGCTTGTGCTGCGGGGGGCCGCTGGCAAGAGGCATTTCTACTGTTGGACTTGATGCACAAGCAGAAGGACGGGCTTAAGTCTTGCATGCACATTTGATCTTCAATGTTTCAAGCAAAATTAGGGAGCGCCACATGGATTAAAAACAACAGATAATTGTTCCCCGCCACTCAGGATGGCTCGGTTTCAGTGAAAGAGTCTAGCAATCATATGCAACTCTTGCCAT